TATAGTTGAGAATTCTGTACCAAGGTTAAGTCAGAATTAAAGAGGTGTTAATATTATCTGACAAATTCAAATGTTCAAGTATAAAAATCATCATGCTTTCTAAGCACTGTAGAAATAATACATAGATGTGTGCGTGCATGTACACGCATGCGTGAAGACATATGTGTGCTCCATTGTTCTCTGTGATCTCAAGCCTTTACATGCAGCTAATATCAAACAGGGTTTCGTAACTAATCAATAAAACACAGTTTATATCAAATGACCAGAGAGTTGTCAATTTTTTAAAAATCCCAAGCCTCTCTTGCAGCTTGCTGACTTCAAAGGCATGCATTAAGATTATTAAGCAAGTAATGATTGATTTATTACATAACATTAAGAAATGTTTTCTTTGAAGCACAAATTAAAAGGTCATGCATGCCTGGATTTTTCTTCAGGTTGATAGTTAAACATGCAGAATAGATAATATCGCTGGCTGTGAAGGACACATGAAGGGCATTTGAAGTTAACTCTCCTATCTGGGCAATATTATAATGAAAGACTTGAATATTCTGCAGTAGACTAATGAGACAGTTCTCTATTTTCAAACAATGGGTGAACAATTAAGAACTATTCCTGAGGACAAATCGGTACTGCCGTTATTTTGATGATATTTAAAAATGATTTTTGCAGGGGCTGGGAAGGTGGCTCAGTGGTAGAGCGCTTGCCTTGCAAGCCTGAGGCCCTGGGTTAGATTCCTCAGCACCACATAAGCAAAAAGAAAAAAGCCGGGGGCTGGGAAGGTGGCTCAGTGGTAGAGCATTTGCCTTGCATGCTCAAGGCCCTGGGTTCGATTTCTCAGCACCACATAAGAAAAAAGCCTGAAGTGGCGCTGTGGCTCAAGTGGTAGAGTGCTAGCCTTGAGCTGAAGAGCTGAGGGACAGCGCCCCGGCCCAGAGTTCAGGCCCCACAACTGGACCCAAAAAAAAGAAAAAAAGGAAAAGAAAAAAGCCGGAAGTGGTATTGTGGCTCAAGTGGTAGAGCGCTAGCCTTGAGCTGAAGAGCTGAGGGACAGTGCCCAGGCCCAGAGTTCAGGCCCCATGACCGGACCAAAAAAAAAAAAAAATGATCCTTGCAATAGCAACATATCAATAAAAATAATCAGATAAATGAAAAATAAGCATTTATGTCAAGTGCATATAGTCATTTGTATCAGGTGACTCGGTGCAGATTTTCGTCAGGGGAAGGGAAGGGAATGTGGCAGCTGCTATCCCTAGAAATAAAACTGACATTTTTGGATGAAAGCAATTTGACCAGCTGAAACCCAAACATGTTTTGTGCCATGCTAAGAAGGTACTCAGAATGCCCGCCAAAGTGCTAACGGGTCCCCATAAAGCTTGCGAGCTGAGCAGATTTCTCAGCTATGTTTCAAAACACCCCCAAAGGAAGGAGACATGGGTATAGTTCTTTGAAGAGGTCAGATGTGAGAGTGGAGGAAATGAATGAATCCCTGGGGGGAGTCAGAAAAACAATGCATCAAAAATTTGGCAATTCATCTCCCAGTGGAGATTAACTAGGGAAAATTGCCCTTCACATCAAATTCCAAGTCCAGGCCAGCACTGCCTTAAACACCTGCACATCCTAAATAATCACTTAACTAGACTTCTCCCCAAGCTTGTGTAATAATACAAACCCAACACTAAATAGACTGTGATTCCCATGCCCCACTTCATGTACCCCCCCCATTGTAATGGAAAATGAGGATGCAAACTTCTACAGCTAGTCAATGGAAATAAACTTGGTTTCCTATCCAAGAGTCAAAATCAGGGAACTTTGTGACCTGTAATTGTATCTTTATCTCAACCTTCCAATTCTACTGCACAGAGCTCTCCTCTTCCCTTCCCAGGCTGCAAAGTTGTTTTGCTTGCTATGTGAGCAAACTTCTCTAATTTAGTCCCTTCTCCCACCCCATCACCACCCCCACAAAAAAGTCTATATAGCCAAATTGATGGGATACAATGATAGGTTTAAAGAATAATTCATTATACTATCAAGATCTTGGCATGCCAATTGCTAGGGAGACTATTTTGGGGCTGTCAGTTGTGAAGCACATGTTTTTTCATTGATTGACATGCCAAGTGCTTGATGGAATAATGGATTGCTCCCATTGACATCACTGTCGCACAACCCTTGGGCTCCCGTGGCAGTTTTCCAGGGTGATGAATGCGGTCACTGCCCATGGTGTGTGAGGCAAAGAGCAAAAGGTCAGACTCAGGGACTCGCTGAAGGAGAGAAAGGAGGTTTAGGGAAGAAGGGAAGAATGGAATGAGATTCAGAGGTTGATGAAAAACATCCACCTTGACTAGAATGAATCTCATCACATCCCATAATAAAAAAAATGTACCGATGCACATTCTGACACAATTGTGGAAAGCATCTCCCAAATATTCTCCATTCTTGCCTGGGAAAGGTTTGAAGGTTCATTTCTGTATGTGTGTGGTGGTGTTTAGTTGGTGTTTTGTGTTTTGTTCTGTTTTGATGTGGGAGAGAGTGGCTAAACCTACAGGCAACCTGGAAGTCCAGCTCCTCTGGCTTAGACTTATTATATGCATATAATATACAATATACATGTATATGTGTGTGTGTATCTATGTGTGTGTATATATAGTATCCTTCTGGCTTTGTATGTGTATGTGTATGAGCCATTGTAACAATGTAACATTATACCCTTGTAACAATACACATACATCCAAGCTAACCCTGTTGCTAAGACATACCTGCACCATCCACCATCCGTCCCCACCTCCACCTCAGGAGAGACCCCGTCTCCACCAATTTCCCCACACAGGACAATTTCTGAAAGCCTCCCCAGAGCAAGCTCATGAGCAGCCCTTGGCAGTGACAATGCTTAACACCAACAAAGATCTACACAATGCCTTAACACTGAGTCACAATCCACAGAGATAGGCACTCATCCATCTGGCCCTCGCCATTTCTGCCAAGAACTCTTCTCTACATAGCAAAGGCAATCTGGAACCTTCAAGGAGACAAGTTTCCATTTGAAGGCAAGAAGTATAGTAAGAACACTCTTTTCAAGATCCCACACACAGCACATAGCAACATCTTGAAGAAAGAGAAAAAGATCTCCCCATCTTGATAGTCATTTTCTCTCCTTTCATTGAAGATTTGAGATTATGTCAAGCTTCATTGCCTTAGCCCATCTTTCAATTCTTCAGTAGAGGAACAAGTCTTTTACGGTCCTCAGGATAAAAACTACCAGCCTTTGTAACAGGAACCTGCAGCATTTATGATATTTGTTTAGACTTTAAGATACTGGTAATAGCTGGGCACTGGTGGCTCATGCCTGTAATCCTAGCTACTCAGGAGACAGAGATCTGAGGATCACAGTTCAAAGCTATCCTGGGCATTATTGTCCATGAGACTCTAATCTCCAGCAAACTACTAAAAAGCCGGAAGTATAGCTGTGGCTCAAGGGGTAGAATGCCAGCCTTGAACAGAAAGAGCTAAGGGATTAGTGCCCAGGCCCTGAATTTAAGACCCAGTATTAGCAAACTTGTGCACATATGCACATGCACACCACACACACACACACACACACATGATACCAGTAGAGTGATTGTCTAGTGAGAGCAAGGCTCTGGGTTCGATCCTCAGTACAGTCGGGGGAGAAAAAGGTTTTAGGATAAGGTCTTCCCCCCAAAAAATCTTTCCATCACAGTCACCAATTGGCCATTTTACATAAGTACACTCTGGATTTACCTACCTGAAAATATTATTGCTTCACTTAATCAAAGACTCAATAGGCACATGTGTGGCCTGGATAGCTGTGGCTTAGCTGCCACATTCGAACTCCTGTCTTATGAGTCCAGGTGAACTTGGCAGAGAAGCTCCTCACACCTCTTACCAAACCACCAGAAGGCAGAAGTTCAAGTCCCCCCAACCCTGGAGCTCAGGCTCTTTTTCTGGGCTGCATCTGTTCCTACCTGGCTTTCTAGATGCTTGTCGGATGTCTACCTCCTAACCTGCAGCTCACCATCTTTACAAGCAATCCGGGCCTCTCATCTCCGTACCTACTGTCACAGTACCGTGCCAGATTACACAGTTCATCTGTGTGATGGTTTCTGCGCTGTGTGTCTGTTCCAGCCTTCTCTTCTTCATCTGCCTCCCTTTATCCTGTCTATCCTCCCTCGTGGGATTATTGGATGGATATCGCTCTTCCCTATTCCGTCAGAGTCCTATCAATGAGGCTCCTGCACAGAACAGGCAAATCGTCCTATCCTCTCAAGGGGCCGCATCCCTCCATAGCCGCCACTCACAGGCGGGAAAGCAGAGCAGGCCCCCGTTGGTTTGATGATGCTACTCCAGCCAGAAGTGGAAGCAGCACTGAGCCTGCGCAAGGCCGCGGCCCGCACTTGCCCTGCTCAGCCAGCACATGACTCCTGGCGAGGTGCAGGGCATGGCTCTCGGAACAGTATCTCCCAACAGAAAGCCTGGATGGGGGTGTCAAGAAAGATCAGTGGTGCACAGGCATTCTCCACAGGTGAATCTAGGTTCTCCCCCAAGATCCAGGGACAGGCCCCCAACATAAGAAGTCAAAACTCTGCTACAATTCTCTATACCTATCGTCACTTGTCTCTAGCATGCTGTTACCTAAGAATCAGCAAGTCAGTACCTTTCTGCAGGATTCTTGGCTAATAAGTGCTGTTTAGCTCCACCATGAGATCAGATTTATACCACAGCGGGAGGGGAGAAAGGGCAGGAAGAGAAGAACATGAGGAAGAGGAGGAACAGAAAGAGGAAGAGGAGAAGCAGGGCAGAAGGAGGAGAGGAAGAGGAGAAGGAAGAGGAGGAGGAGGAGGAGAAAGAGAAGAAAGAAAAATAGAGCAAAATGGAATAGGAGAAAGAGAGGAAGAGGAAGGAGGAAAAGAGGAAGTTGGAAAAGAAAAGAGAAAAAAGGAAAATAGAGCGAAAGAGAGGAAGAAGCAAAAGAGAGGAAGATAGAGGAGGAGGAAAAGAGAAAGGTGGAAGAGGAGAAGAGCAGAACACGACAGCTTTCCCAGCTACCAGAGACTAGGTGCCTTTTTTTTCTGGGTATTATTTTATTTCCTGGACCTACCATTGTATTATGGCACCAAGTAACAGCCACCATAAAACTCTTCTTTCCAAGAGACTGTTATCTGAATTGCAAAAATGAGACCATCCAACAACGTATGATCAAGTAGAAAGTAAATAGGATAGAATTACAAAGCAACTTCTGAAGGCCATTCATTTGCATAGAGATGCCTGCCAAGCCAGGCCCAAAGCTCATCTCAGCCTTTAGCGACTACACAGGGAGGAACTCCATCATCACATCTCACTTTTAGTTGTATAGAAAAGCCAAAGAGGGGACAGCCTCCTACATGGAGGAAGGACACACTCATGGGCCATTTCCACAGATAAACCATAAACACCTTGCAGAGCCTCTGCATCAATGCTGTCTGTGAAGGTTGTTGAATATTTCCTGTGTGTTTGAAAAATGATACAGAGACAAAGGTATTTTTCAGAGCATTTCCATTTTCCGATCATCGTCAAAGCGCTCTTACTGTGAATCAGGGCTTGGCTGTCTTTTTGCTCCATTTACCACCTGCCTAGAGATCGCAGGTCTCCGTGGTATAAGATGTTGTTTTCTTACAGTTTTCCCATTTTCCTTCCCATCTTGCCTTTTTTGCATCTGGCTTTCAAATGCTAATGCTGGCCTTTGCCTGCCTGGTCTTAGGTCTGTTTGATATCCCTTGTCCTTCTCCCCATTCATTCCATCACCTGCTTTATTTACATGTCTACAACAATTAAACTTCCAGTTTGCATCTGGGAGTTAGGAAAGTCACTTTTTTTTTTAATATGGGAGAGAGGGGGCGCAGAGGATACTGGAGTTTGAACTTAGGGTCTCATGTTCTTGCCTGGCTTTTTCTGCTCAAGGCTAGTGCTCCACCACTTGAGCCACAGCTCTACTTCCAGTTTTTTTTACTTACTTAATAAGAGAGTCTCATAGACTTGACTGCCTGGGCTGGCTTTGAACCCCAATCCTCAGCTCTCAGCCTCCTCAGGAGCAAAGATGACAGGCGTGAGCTACTGGTGCCCATTCTAAAAAGTGAACTTCATCTACTGGCTGATTATCATGCAGTTCCCTCACTTTTTTTTTCTAGCATCTTTATTTAACACTGTGCCACTAAGTGCTTCAACTGGATTGTATCATTGTAATTTATTCTCCAGATTTCTTTGGAAATCACAATTGTTTTTTTAACCTACACTTGTCCTGCTGAACCAAATTCGAGCGGCAACAAGGCCTTCATGTGGCTGGTTGGCATTTAACATGGAGGCCCACGTCTCTTGCCTGCGGTCAGTTACCACAGTGTTGTAAGATTGTTAAGAAAGAGATAATCCAGTTTAGGAGCTAAATAGACACATGGTCTCCTGAGTAACTGAAAAGTGGCTCATAGCCGACCCCAACAAGAAGAGCGCCAGTAGCTCAGACTGACAGTTTTGTACCAGAACTTTGGCATTCTCTTTGCAGAAGGAATCCCAAAGGACCATTAACCTTTACCCTTTCATCTTGTAGCTTCCCAATTGGACAGACTGTAGCTCAGTTATTCATTCTTGGTCCAATCAGCTGTGACCAAGTAGCACCCTTGACTTCAACAAACAAAATGCAATTAGCCAGAGCAACGGTATGCTAAAGAGATAGCCAGGACCCCTACAACCTGCCTGAGAACTGCAACTTCTCATGCTATTCAAAAAACAATGCAGTGTGACCAGGTGCTGGCGGATCACGCATGTGATCCTAGCTACTCAGAAGGCTGAGATCTGAGCATCCTGGTGGAAGCCAGCCTAGCAAGGAAGTCCAGAAGGTTACCTTTGATTAAGCAGCAAAAAGTCAAAAGTGGAGGTATGGCCCCAGAGTGGTAGAGCTCCAGCCTTGAGAGAAAAAGCTAAAGGACAGTGCCTGGAGTTCATACCCCAGTACGCATGTGCACGCAGACACACACACACACACACACACACACACACACACACACACATATACACACACACAATACAGCACATATTACATGTTCCATTTAGAAATAACTCCTATTGACAGCAGCTTCACAGGTGCTGACTGAGACCTCAGGATTGTTACTGCCACAAGCTTTATTGGTCTTCTCAAAGTCAAATTCATCCGGGGACATTAAACCCTGTGGCTCCCCGCTAGACGTACTGACTGACTTGGTCTGAAGCAAACTTCTGCCGAACAGGATTCAAATTCTCCAGGTTCTACACCTTTAAATAATGTCTTATGGTCATACTATAAACTTGCATTGACTAAACATATGAACCAGACACTAAATAAGCATGCTTTGGTTTCTTCTTAAGTTTACCCTAACACATGCCCCCCGCCAATTAATCAATGAGAACTCAAAGCTCTGAGAGGCTGGACTGCATGCACATGGCCACACACACTGTTCATGAATGAGTAGATACCATGTAAAGTGGCCAGAGGTGAGAAAAATAAATAAATAAATAGCCCCGGCATTCTGTGAAACATAAATTATACAAAACCCTTTGAGAACTACACCAGGTCAAACCCATAGCAAGACTCAGTTCTGCCACTACTATGCTAAACAGTGCTCCTAAAGGGGGGATTGAGCATTTGTCAGAGAAAACAATGAAATTCTCATGTCTGTGATAAACTGTAAGCCCAACACATGAAAGAAATTAGCTCCAAAGCAGACAGGAAGGGTTAACATGCCATGTGCCACCCCCAGCAGAGCTGGAACCCAGCTCATCTCCCTAGCAAAACAATGAGAATGCATCCTGCCCAATCTTCCCTGACGTGGGGATCACCTTCTAGGGGCCAAGCCCACCCTCCACAAGGTGACCAGAATCTCCTGGAATGAGAAGAAAGGCCCCATTGAAACTATTGCTGACCATCATCTCACAGTAATACTGGGAAAAATCCCAGCGCAAGCCAAAGCCAGCCCCTGCTCCTGGAATTCTTAACACTCCGCCTGCGGACACACAGGCCATTTGGAAGGGCTCGCCTGCCACCTGCTGGTAAAGACTGTATACTGTGTAAGGCGGGTAGGGACAGATCAGGAGCACGCCACCGCAACACACTTTTCCCCCTTTAATATGCCCCTAAATAAGCTGCAGGGGAAGAAAGGCCTTTGTGGGTTCTAGAAATGTCACATGCTTTGGAGAAGGTTATTTTAAACAATGGTTTTCTCCAGAGAAGTAATCCCTGGACCCACTTCCATGCTTCTAGTGAAAAACTTTTTTTTTTGTTTGGTGGGTTATGGGGCTTGAACTCAGGGCCTGAGCAGTGTCTCCGAGCTCTTTTGCTCAGGGCTAGCACTCTACCACTTTGAGCCACAGCACCGCTTGCAATTTTCTGGTGGTGAATTGGAGATAAGAGTCTCATGGGCTTTCCTGCCAGGGCTGGCTTTGAACCACAATCCTCAGATCTCAGCCTCCTGAGTAGCTAAGATTACAAGCATGAGCTACCAGCACCCAGCTAAAAAACATATTTTCGAGCGTTCTCTATATTATATTAAAGAAAGCTATTTTGTAACTTCTTTCAAAGGCCTAACTAAGCCCTAGGACTATTTTCACCATTTCTACTAGCTCCCAATTAACTTTCTTCCCTTCTTTCCAGCACTGCACACTATTACTATCGCTGGTTAAACTTTTTCATCACAAACACCCTATCCCCAATCTGTCTGCTCCTTAGAAGTTGTACAGCTTTGGGTAAATTAATTAGCATCTCTACTCTATTGAAACATCTTAGTCTTTGCATTTTAATAAATATTGTAAAGGCAGAAAAAAAAACAAATTGTATGCAATAGCGATCATATGTGGTTCACAAGGCCTAAATAAACACAATTGGCCCTTGTTCCAAGATGTAGAAACCTGAATCTCTTGTTTGCCCACCAGGCTACCTACAAGCCAGCCCCACAGCGCCCCACTGAGGCCCCATGTGTTTACTACATGGCAGTTCAATTTCTCCCTCTGCCTCTTCCCAGTTGCTGATCCTCACCATCTACCCCCATTAAATACCAGAATCATCTTCATCCCAGCGTCTATTTCCATTGAACATGATGTCTCTGTACAGCCTAATCCCCACATCGCAGCTACAAATTACCCTGCTCACAACTAAGGCTTCTTTGCCCAGGATCCTACAATGACTGACATCTTAGCAGCAGCAAAGGACCAGAGCTGGCCACCGGCATCCCTGCCCCATTGTGTTTGACCTCAGGGCTTTCTGCTATGGAAAGCTTCGTTCAACGATCTGCAGATGTCCCTCCCTCTCCTCCTTCCAGTCTCTCCTCACAGCCATATCCTCAGATGAGGACTTTGCTGAGCCCTTAATTCAGTGCTGTTCATTGCTCTATCCCCAGAACCCAGACTGCTAACTGGTAAACGACATAAGCAAGAGAAGAAAGAAGGACAAAAGACAGGAGATTGCAGGCCTGTGATCTTTAGGGAAGTACCTTACACAGCAAATCATAATACATCACTTGGGAAAGTTTATGTAACATTGTAGAAAAATGGATTTTTAAAAATGTTAGTCTTTGTTCAAACTGTGGTGTGTGTGTGTCTGTGTGTGTCTGTGTGTGTGTGTGTGTGTGTGTCTGTGTGTGCCAGTACTCAGGACCTGGGTGCTCACCCTGTGTCTTGTTTTATTTCCAGCTCTGGGCTAGAACTCAAAGAAGCTAAGCACATTGCAGAAGAGGCAGATAGGAAGTATGAAGAGGTGGGTCGTAAATTGGTGATTATTGAAGGAGATCTGGAATGCACAGAGGAAGGAGCTGAGCTGGCTGAGTCCCATTGCCGAGAGACGGATGAGCAGATCAGACTGATGGACCAGAACCTGAAGTGTCTAAGTGCTGCTGAAGAAAAGTACTCTCAAAAGGAAGACAAACACAAGGAAGAGATAAAGATTCTTACTGATCAATTCAAGGAGGCAGAGACCCGTGCTGAGTTTGCTGAGAGATCAGCAACCAAACTGGAAAAGACAATTGATGATTTGGAAGATAAACTGAAATGCACCAGAGAGGAGCACTTCTGTACACAAAGGATGCTGGACCAGCCGCTGCTTGACCTGAATGAGATAGAGCTCCCCAGTCCCACCTGCCGCTGCCCCCCTCTCTAACCCCGACTCTGCCTGAGGCCAGCCCATGGGGAGCTGACCTTGAGACTGAGGGCTGATCTTTAACTGAAAAAGGCTGCTTTCTCCTTTTGCAACCCTTTCTACCCTTTCTCCTTCATGTCTTTTTTCACCTAACTGTCTCAGCCTCTTCCCAGAGATTCTAGCTGGGCTAGAGGCTGTGCACTTTGGGGAACAACATTTAAGGGACTGTGAGCACAATGCGAAATGTCTTTAAAAGCATGCTGTGATGTACACATGTTGTAATTAATTTTTTGTGTCATCCTAGCAGCCATTTGTAAAACATCCCAAATAATTCCACAGCTCGGAAGCAGCAGTCGAATTCCTTTCTCCCTTTGGAAGGTTAATTTCTCTGCCTAATGCTTACTGCCCCCCAGAGAAGGCCAACAGGTATGGGCCTGCCTTGTTGAGAGCCAAATAGAGCCCAGGGAAAGACTCCACCATGGAAAACCTCATTGCTCTGTACAAAGTACCAGCCAAACCAGATAGGTGATTCTAGGAGTTAGCCACAAAATGAAAACAAGTATCCTATCATGCTGTTCCAGTTTTCAGCTTTAAGGTATCTTTGGACAAGCTTATTTTTATTTACTTTTTTTCATCAGAAGGGACCAAATAAAGATGCTGAGATGTCTGAGAAACTCCGTCACCTCCATTTTTCCCTTACTGCAATGCTGGGGATCAGTGTAGGCAAGTGCTCTGCCATGGAGCCACATCACCAGCCCTGAGACCAAATTTTTGTCTCATCTATGTCTCCTTCCTACGTCTTCACAGAATGGATTATGTGTCCCTCAGGTGTTGAGATGACCACGTAACTAAATTAAGAAAAATTATGTTTTTGCCACTGATTTAGCCATATAAACACATCACCCTGTTCTGGGTCTGAAGCCGCTCTTTAAAAGTGCCATCTCATTGTGCTTTGCATCCATGCTGGACAAATCTGGAATCGCTTATGTATAAACTTTGTATATCATTTTGAAACGTTGCTTTAGGGTTGGGGAGCCCTGACCACTCTGTTTGAGGGCTGGCAGCATGCTGATCTTTAGGGTTGGGGAGCCCTGACCACTCTGTCTGGCTGTGAGAGTGTTCTACAGTCTGAGGGCTGGCAGCATGCTGATCTTTTGGAGTGTCTTTTCCCATCCAGTTCTCACTTTTAGATGAGGTCTCTGTGAGGTCTGTTTGGTGTACATCCTGCAGCTTTGGCTTATAATGTACTCTCCTTTCTTTGTGGTCTCTTTGGGGCCAGTTAGGAGAAAGAAAAAACAATAATGCAGCTGTTTTGAGACTGAATATTGACAAGTGTCTTCTTGAAATAAAGTACCAGTCCTTCCAAAAAAAAAAAAAAAAAGAGTCTCATAGATATTTCTCAGGCTGGCTTCAGACGTTGATCTTCGTATCTCAGCCTCCTGAGTAGCTAGGATTGCTGGCCAGTGCTTGGCCACACTGAAACTGAATTCTTTATCACTGGGCTCCTTTAAAATTTGTCATCTAGGAGATACCAGATTACAAAAAAGAAAAGAAAAACAGAAATGAAAGAAAAGATATTACATTCAGAAAGAGAAAACCCTGAAAAATATTCAGATACTTAAATGAAACATAAAAAACATTTATTCCAAAGCCATACTTGAAATGTACAATGAAATCTCATCCCTTTTAAGACTCAATAAAAACAGCAGTATTTACATTTTAAATTTTATAACACTCTGAGGACATTCTGTTGCTCCCAGAAAAAGGAAATCTGATAAAAGTTAATTCCATAATTAAAGTGTCAAAGTACATTACTGCTTATATAAAATGCATTCTCTTCAAATGCAAAATAGTCAAATACAGTGAAATCATTTTCAATGTCTGTAATTCTCATTAGTCTATGGAATCACATGTCTATGTACTTCTTAAAATGAAGTAAAAAAGTAAATATTGAGGGTTTTTCCCCAGATAATTTCCCAAACAATTATATCTCACTGACTTGTAACATCATCTTTTATGGTTGGTGTGTGTGTGTGTGTGTGTGTGTCTGAGTGTGTGTGTGTGTCTGTGTGTATGTGCACGTGTGTACCTGCACGCACACAACAGTACTGACATTTGAATTGAGGGCCTTACACTCTCCCTTAACTTTTTTGTCAAGATTGGTACTCTACTACTCTAACCACAGCTCCACTTCTGGCTTTTTGGTGATTAACGGGAGGTAAGAGTCTCATGGAATTTCCTGACCAGGCTGGCTTTGAACCACAATCCTCAGCCATAAGACTCCTGAGCAGCTGGTGTAAACCACCAGCACCCAGTATATCTTTACAATTCCTTTCCTCTAGAAACTTTTCTTCATATTTCCTTAATATTATGGACCAAAAAGCATCAAAATACCTGTCATTTAAAGTTTATAGTTATAATCATTTTATACAGTCTCATGATCCAAGTCAAAAGTATTACTAGGCCAATACAAATTTTCATTATAGTTCTTTCCATAAATATTGCTAAACTCTATAGAGTTCTCTGCATAATCCTTTGAAGCAAAACAAGGGTCAGCAGCCTTTGACAAGGTGCAGGTATAAATACTCCGTTTTGTGGGTCACTTCTCTGTTGCATTATTTTTTATTTAAAAACTAATTTTTAAAAAAAAAAATTCTTAAGCTTTGCTGTTAATGTCTAACCTCTAATTGAAAAAAACACAGAACTAGTCTCTACCTTAGACAACTCAAATGTTAAAGTTCACACTGGGCAGTGAAATGAATACATGATTGGTAACATCAAAACTGAAAGTTGTTACACACAGATTGCAGCCAACAGAAGTATTTGTTTCAGGTTTCTTTTTAGTCAGTGGAAATTCTTACAGCTTTTTTTTTTTTGGGGGGGGTCGGTCGTGGGGCCTGAACTCTGGGCCTGGGCGCTGTCCCTCAGCTCTTCAGCTCAAGGCTAGCACTCTACCACTTGAGCCACAGCGCCACTTCCAGCTTTTTCTGCTTATGTGGTACTGAGGAATCGAACCCAGGGCCTCATGCATGCAAGGCAAGCGCTCTACCACTGAGCCACCTTCCCAGCCCCTCTTACAGCTTTTTATTTTGGCTAGATAATTCACACACCTACTTTTTTTGTTGTTTTTTAATGATCTTCCTTTTCTATAAGGAAAAAAGTCTCTTTATGAAGCTACTTCAGTTTGTAAAATCAAAGACCATAATGTTTTGCTAACAGAGGTAGATTTGTACACACACACTGTGCACTTGCAGATACGTGCATAAGGATAACCATTGGTTGCACTGGATGCCTAGGAAACATCAGCAGAGACCAGCAATAAGGTGTGCGGGGCAGCACGCCAGGAGGTTTGGATGGGCCTTTATCACATGATTTGAATACAAAATGAATCCAGCAGCATGACTTACTCAGATTTTTTTTTCTTTTTGTGGCAGTACTGGGGTTTAAACACAAAACCTCACACTCCAAGACTAGAGCTCCACCACCTGAACCACATCTCTAGCCCCAATTTACTCAGGTTCTTTTTTATTGTGGTTGTTGGTCATGGGGCTTGAACCAAGGGCCTGGATGCTGTCTTTGAGTTCCTTTTGCTCAAGGCTAGTGCTCTACCACTTTGAGCCACAGCTCCACTTCTGGTTTTCTGATGGTTAATTGGAGATAAAAATCTCATAGACTTTCCTGCCTGGGCTGGCTTTGAATAAAGATCCTCAGATCTCAGCCTCCTGAGTATCTAGGATTACAGGCGTGAGTCACCAGTGCCCAGGTGTACTCGGCTTCTTAATAAATACAATGTAGAGCAGACTTAACACTGATCTATAACACTGTCTAATGGCTTGAAATTGAGTATTACAACTGAGTGTGTTCTGTCCTTTTTCCTTTCCTACAACAATCAGTATTACAAACAAATTATGGCAAAAAAACAATAAACAAAAACGCAATCCTGAATGTGCCCCTGTATGTCAAAAACAAGTTGGAACACTCTGGAATTACAATCATATAATATTTTATATTAAACATTACAAAAAATTCTAAAGCTGAGAAAAAGTTGAAAACTTTGGTGGCCCTAACAAGAAGGCTCAATTATGTGAGCCTCTGCTCCTAAAAGTAAGAATTCTCAGTGCAAAAATATTACTGCTCTTGATAAATAACAATGACTCAATAACCACATGAAACACTTAAAGACAATGAAATACAAAATATCCTGAAGATCTGCTTTGGCAGAGATCAAGTCATTTTGGGACCAGGCCTGGTAGCATATAGCTGTAATCCCAGCACTATGGAGCCTGAGACAGGGAAATTGTGAGTTCCAGGTCAGCCTTGGCTACATACAGAGTCCATATCAAAAAGAAAGAGAAAGAGCGAGTTAGAGAGAGAGGAAGGAAGAAAGGAAGGAAGAAAGGAAGGAGGTAGGGAGGGGAGAGGAGAAGGGTAGGGAAAGGGAGAGGAGAAAGGAGGGGATGGGAGGGGGATGAGGGAGGGAAGAAAAAGAAGAAACGACAGAATAAAGGAAAGAAGAAAAAGAGAAAGGTCATTTTTCACTTTGGACTAGCAAATACCACACAGTCGCCTCTGAGCTGCGAGGATGGGTATTTAGATGGTCCTCCCTCCCTGTAGACAGACTGCACACATCACAGCTCATCCCGGGTCTTTTTAAATGGCCATTTTGGGTGTTGTCGCACATGATCTGCAGCCTGAAGGACCAGGAACATGAATTCCTCTACATCGAAGGAGTAGTTGGTGAATTTCGGGTGCTCCCCAAGGGTTGGATGGTGACCCTGCAACAGCAAACCAGATACAAGGTCCTCATCAGGCAGGCACAAGCCACTTCTCTACGGAAAGGAAGTTCTTTTACTCTGCTCAGCAACGAGTTAAACTTCAATGTATAACAGAGGTCAGCAAACTGTTTCTAGAGAGAACCTACTAGGGCCAGGAGCCTAGCTACTCAGGAGGCTGAGATCTGAGAAGCTAGGCTCAAAGCCAACCCGAGTAGAAAAATCCTTAGACTCATCTCCAAGTAATCATTCAAAAGCCAGCACTGGAGCTGTAGCTCCAGTGGTAGAGCACCAGCCTCGAGTGAAGAAGATAAGGAATAGCATCTAGGCCCTGATTCAAGGGCCTAAACTGGAGAGGGAAGATGGGAGGGGAGAGAACAGGGGGAAGAGACAGGGGAGGGGAGGGAGGGGGGGAGAAAAGGAGGGAGAGAGAAGGAGGAAAGAGAGGGGAAAGAAGGGGAAAAGAGGAGAAAAACGGGAGAGAGGAGAAAGCGGAAGGGAGAGAGGGAAAGGGGGAGAGGGAGATAGAGCAGAGAGAATGTGAATATCTTCAACCAAGTAATAAACACCTTCAGTTCTGCCCCAACTGTAAGTACTCAGTCAGTTACTGAGTTTGGCCACAGACAAGCCATAAATAGGTGAACCTGATCCCAATAAAACTTTATTTACAAAAACAGCAGGCGGGCCAGCTTTGCTCCCACAGAGCTGCAGTTCACTGACCCCTGCGATAAACACAGTCTATTAGATCTCCGTACACCCCACACTGCCTTCCCAACATGACAACTGTCTCCCATCGGCAAAGATAAAAATCCAACTCTTATTTTAGAAAATAGTTCATCTTTCAAGTCCAATGATTGCTTCCCCCACACACACCCCATTTTAATAACTGGACAGTGCAAGCCACATAAAAAACTGCAGACAAGGTGAGTTGCAGCTGAACTTTACCTTATCCTGAGGAAATACTTTGTTCTGCTTTCGCCATGTGATGTAGTGGACGCCTCGCAGCCTGGCCAGGTCTAAGTAGCAGCGATCATCTTCACAGTTGTATCTAAGCACACAAGGGTGATCAACCTGTCACCTGATCAACCTGTCTCCTGATCAGCCATCCTTGGGGTGGGGGGTGCATATATATATATGTGTGTGTGTGTGTGTGTGTATAGATATAGATATAGATATTAACATGATCAGTACCTTACCTTAACTTTTCAGACACAGAGAGATGAGGAATAGCTTTACTCAACAGGTCCTTCTGCCCATGAACCTGATACTACTTTGTAAGATACTATGTCTTTCTCCTTGGGGAAGTAGACTAGGGAGCGAACACATTCAAGGTTGCACAGCTAATTCACAAGTGAGGCAAGCATCCCAGGTCTACTGAGCTCCACTGTCCCTGGTACATTTGCCCACTAGCCTCCTTCCATCCATCATTTCATCCTCTAGGAGGATGAATCCACAATTATCTGCCTACCACATTAATAGTTACTTTTACATGGTTTGTAAAGCGAAACATGGGAGCTCGAGGTATGGCTCAAGGGGTCAAGCACCTGCCTAGCAAGTTCACAGCCTTGAGTTCAAACCCCAGTACAACAACAAATGGCCAGTTGTGTAAGCACTCTCCTATAACCCCAACTATTTGGGAGGTGGCAGGAAGCAGATCACAGTCTGAGGCCGATGTGGCAAAAGCACAAAACCTTACCTGAATAATAACTAAGAAAGAGCCGGGGCATGGTTCAAGTGGTAGAGCCCTTGCCTAGAGTGCCTGAGTTCCCGAGTTCAAATCCCAGTATAAGGAAAGGACAGGGAAAGGAGAGCCATCAAGGTATTCAGACACAAAGGGGAAAAGGAAATAAGGAGAATTGCTACCAGTAGCTCAGAAGCCCAAGGTAGGCCTGGTATCAAAAGTTGAGTTTTTAATCCTGTTCCATAACTTATCGCTGAGTCAGAGGGATGCAGTGGCTAAATCACTTTCACTCCTGAGGGCCCATTTCCCTAATTAGTGACTACTAAACAACTATTAGTCTCTCCTCCCTCTCTCTCTCCTTTACCCTGCCTCTCTCCCCCTTTCTCTTCCTCTTTCCCCTCCCTCCCTCCTCCTTCTCCCCCTTCTCCTTCTCTTTCCCCTCCCCTCCTTTCCCTGTCTCTGTCTCTTTTTCTCTCCTCTCTCTTTCTCCCCTACCTCCTTTCTCACCCTCCTTCTTTCCCTCTCCCCCTCTTCTTTCCCCTCGCCTCCTTTCTCTGTCTCTTTCTATGTCTCTTTCTCTCTCTTCTCTCTCACTCCTCTCTTTCTCCCTCTCCCCTCACTTTCTCCCTCTCCTTCCTTCTCTTCCCCCTCTTCTTTCCCCTCCCCTCCTTTCTCAGTCTCTGTTTCTCTCTATTTCTCTCCCCACCTCTGTCTCTGTCTCTGTCTCTCTTTTTCTCGGGTTGTACATCACACCCAGGACCAGTGCATGCTGGGTAAGCATGACAACACAGTAACACTAAACACTGGTTGTAGGGAGGAGCTCCCAGTCAGGAGAGGCAAATAAGAATGAAGTCAGAGTCAGAAAATCATACACCCACATCTAAAGCACATCTACGGCTTAGCCTTACTATTTGTCTCGGTAGAAAGCTGCAGTCAAACACTTACAGTTCAAACACAGCAGCCCAGTCTGGAAGGAAGAGTAAATGGGTGAGACCAGCTCCATGCATTCCGATAAATATGTCCGTGTTATGTGTGATCCTCAGCTGATCCAAAAACCCGAGCTCTCTGTAACACAGAGAACAGCCCAGGAAAGATGAAGAAGGAAAGACCATGCATGACTCATGAACAATATTGACACGCACATATAGGCTGGTTCCAATCACATGCCACATCTACCTTCTTGCCAATTTCAAGCACACGCTAGTAATGAATAACTTCATTCCTTACTAATTTGACCTTTTTTTTTCAAAGTGAGCTCACCTGTCTTTCTGTTCTTTGTTTTAAACTCAGGTCTCCTCACTAAGCAGATGCTCTACCCCTGAGCCATGTCTCCAGACTTTTTTTGTACTAGTTATGTGAGATAAATAAAAATCATGGTTTTTCTGTCTAGACCTGTGCTTGGAATTTCATTTAAACTAAAAAGTTTCCATAAGGTAATAAAAGGATCTTTATTAAACAAAAATAAGTTTCTTTTTTCATGATGTGAGTTACTAGTGCCAACTAAGTAGATTTAAAATAATCTCAGCAGGCTGGGGACATGGCTCAAGGAGTAGAGTGAGTTCAAATTCTAATATCACCAAAGACTCACATAAAATATAAAAATAATCTCTGAGACTATCAAAGCATCCTTCTACCTTTGCAGCTCCATTCTTGGCTTTTTAATGGTTAATTGGAGATAAGAGTTTCATGGCCTATTCTGCCTGGGTGGTCTTCAAACTGAGACCCTCAGATTTCAGCCTCCTGAGTCCTTAAGACATACATGTGTGAGCCACCAGCTTCTAGGAAACATATTTTTTATTTTTATTTTTAATTTTTTTTTCTGATTCTGAGCCTTGAACTTGAGCTTCTACCACTTGAGCCACAGCATCACTTTTAGCTTTTTCTGAGTGGTTTTCTGGTGGTTTATTGGAGATAAGAGTCTTATAGACTTTCCTGCCCAGGCTGGCTTCAAACCATGATTCTTAGACTTCAGCCTCATAAATAGGATTACAGGTGTGAGCCACCAGTGTGGGACCCAGTTAACAGTTTTAACATGACACAAACTATTCATTATCACACATTTGGGAAACAGGCTGGTGATTGTGGCTGAGCAAGGAGACAAGAACTTTTCCTTTTCCCTTTTATCTTTCCCCTTCATATCTTGCATAACACCGGACTACAACCAGGATCTGTGCTCCTACAAAAGTAACTGGGAGAGGGGTCTGGGAAGTTGGCTCAGTGGTAGAGTGCTTGCCTCGAATACATGAGGTCCTGGGTTCGATTCCTCATCACCACAGAAAAAAGCCAGAAGTGGTGCTGTGTCTCAAGTGGCAGGGCACTAGCCTTGAGCTGAAGAGCTGAGGGACAGTGCCCAGGCCCAGAGTTTAGCCTTCACAACTGACCAAAAAAAAAAACTTTAAAATAAATGAAAATAATTTTTTAATTCTCATGTTATTCTATGACCCCCAAATTATTCTCTTAGAAATAATTTTAGGGGAACAGTTGAAACTTTGCAGCTAGCAAGGTCAATAAAGCCTACAATATATTTTTTTTAAATTCAGAACTACCTGCCAAATTTTAAGTCTTTAGAAATTTCAAATGCAAACCTGGACTCACCACTTCTTTTGAGTAAGAAAGACAATGTCACAATATCAGACCCTACAACTCCAGGCCACCATGTACACTGGAGGGTTTTGTCCACTTTGTTCACCAATTTGTGTGTGACTGTCCTTTCTCTACACCTGCCAACAGCCCCCATTTGTGACCCACCATGAATTCACTGAAGCAGAAGTGTACAGCACCTGCCCAGGGGTGACTATAACTCACCTGTACTTGTAATCAACAATCTGGACTTCGAATGTTGATACTGTCTTCAGCGCATTCACAAGCTGGACAAACAAAGACACAAAGTAGAATCACTTTCCCTTCCTCCTTTTCTGTTCTACCTTCCTTCCAGAAGCCTGACATTTCTGACATTTTTGCATATATTTTTCAGGCATCGATCATCTTTTAGGTCCGTGGTTCTGGGTGTCAGTTGAGGTCAAATCCTGGCTCTTGAGCACGTGACCCAACTAACCTTGCAAAACACTGGGTGTGAGGAGGCTGAGAGGCCACAGCCCAGAGGCACAGCACTCGATACCCAGCACTGGAGGCTGCCATCACCATCATTTGCTAGTTATTCCTGCAGCTTTCAATCTGTGTGGATTGTTCCTGCCATGTTCCAGATGCCACAGTAAAATTTCTTCCCTTCCACATCCTGCTTCAGACAATTGTTTGAAGCACTTTGCTGAAATCTTGACAGAAAAACATTTCAGCCTGATGCCAGCTGTTATCCTGTTAGCCTGTTATCCTAGCTACCCAAGGAGGATGAGATCTGAGGACTGAGAATCAAAATTAGCCCAGGCAGGAAAGTCTCTGAGACTCTGATCTCCAATTAATTATCAAAAAGCCAGAAACTGAGCTGTGATTCAAATGGTAGAGTGCCAGCCTTGAGCATAGAAGCTAAAGAACAGCGTGTAGGCATTGACTTCAAGCTCAAGTATACATACACATGCATGCACACATGCACATGCACACACACACACACACACCCCACTTCAATAATTCTACCTAGAAAAATGATTAGTCGGGGCTGGGAATGTGACTTAATGGTAGAGTGCTTGCCTCACATGCATGAAGCCCTGGGTTTTGAAACCACATACACAGAAAAAGCCAGCACCACATACACAGAAAAAGCCACAAGTGGCTCTGTGGCTCGAGTGATAGAATCCTAGCCTTGAACAAAAGAAGCTCAGAGACCATGCTCAGTTCAAGTTCAAGCCCCAGGACTGGCCAAAAAGAAAAAAGAAAAAAAAAGAAAGAAAAATGATTAGTCTTCTAACAAACAGAAGGTAACAAAACATAATTAATGTATTACCAAAATCATAGCCACAGTTCTCCACACCCCTTGCAAGCAGGCCAGTGCAACCCAACACTGCAGATCACCACCATTCAGCAAGTTCTGAACTTGCGTACAAACAAGAGGCCTGCGGCACACACCATATACGATACTGTGACAGCTCCAGCACTGGGGCAGTGGTGAAGCTCAATGGTGGAGTGCTTACCTAGTGTGCATATCTGGGTTCCTTCGCCAGCACCACACACACACACACACACACACACACACACACACACACACACACACACATACACACACAGAGCACTGGTTGTGCACTTCCATAAAGCAGGCATTTTCAAGGTACCTTAAGCCTACTGAATACTCATGTAACAATCATACCATGTCAGTAATGTGACTGCTATGCTGGTCATTTTGTAAGGGAAGGCTTAGAGGAGTTAAAAACTTCCAGCGTAAGGGCTGGGAAGGTGGCTCAGTGGTAGAGCGCTCACCTTGCATGCATGAGGCCCTGGGTTCGATTCCTCAGCACCACATAAGCAAAAAAGAAAAAAAGCCAGAAGTGGTGCTGCGGCTCAAGTGGTAGAGCGCTAGCCTTGAGCTGAAGAGCTGAGGGACAGCACCCAGGCCGAGTTCAGGCCCCACAACTGGACCCCCCCCCAAAAAAAACAAGCTTCCAGCATACAATGCAGAGCCCAAATTAAATCTAGGTCCTCTGACCCCAGAATCTGTCATCTTTGTGTGTGTGTGTGTGTGTGTGTGTGTGTGTGTGTGTGTGTGAGAGAGAGAGAGAGAGAGAGAGAGAGAGAGACTGCATATGCATACATGCACCAGTACTAAGGCTTAAACTCAAGGTCCTACTCCTTTGTTTGGGTTTTAATTGTTCAAAGCTAGCACTCTACTGCTTCAACCACACCTCCACTTCTGACTTTTTGCTGGATAATTGGCGAGAAGAATCTCCCACTTTTCTACCCCATTTGGCTTTGAACCTCGATCTTCAGATCTCAGCCTCTGAGTTGATAGGATCACAGGGGTGCACCACCGGTGCCCAGGGTACTCTGCTCTTGTATGATGGAGAGCAACAGACAGTGAATACCATTTAATTCCTGCTACACACACACAGAGCTACATAAACAAAATTTCTCCAGTCCTTGGACTTCCTTGACTATATTGCTCACATTCAACAGCTACAACCTGATAGGGATGTTGGACAGCACATAGCCACCTCTCTGGTGTGGCTAGAAATTGTGACACAGGGATCCCAGTGCTGTGGGATTGTCTCTTTTTATAAGGAACCTCTCCTCATTAAAAGACCAAGGTTCATGTAAATTCTGGCAATAAAGAATCCTAATCACGATTATAATTCCTCAACTGTTGGATGTGAGGACAAATATTTCATGATCTGCTACATTCAGGGCAGGGTTGTTTCTGTCACTTTCCACTCTGAGTTGGTTATAGGCGAACAAAGCAAAGTTGATCTGAGCATCAACAGTTGGTGACCTCCATTAGGTACTTATATCTAATGGCCAGGCTAGACCATTTACCAGATTCACCTTTCCTAAAAACTAGTAGTTTCATATCAAAACTTTGAATGTGATGTGAAAAGCCAGGCTCATGAGTCATAGGAAGACAAGGTCATTGTGATAGGAAAAGTGCACACCCAAAAACTCACCTCATTTTGATTTAGTATTTTCCTGTATTCTGTGCTCCGAGCAAGAATGGTGACTCGAATTTTTCCATCCTGTAATAAAATGGAAAGACAAAATGACACCGCAACCTGTGCCAACACTGAAGTGTGAACAAATGAACCTAAAGTGGGATTTTCATGAAGAAATGCAGCCCAGTAAAAACACACTTAGGCAGTGTTGAGGTTTTCAGCCCGATTCTTAAGTCATTCTTCCAGGGAATAAAAAACGTTTCCGCTTTCAAAGAAAATGTGATATGCATGCATGATGGAGTATTACTCAGTCATTAAAGAAATTAAACAATGTCATTTGTAGCCACATGAATAGAAGTGGGGGACATCATGTTAAGTCATAATAAGTCAGCATAGACAGACATTACTGCAGTCCTCTGTGGAGGCTAAAAAAGTTGATTTCATGGAAGTAGAAAAATAGAAAAGTGGATGCCAGAGGCTGAAAATGGTGTGAGGGGAGACTAGAAAAGGGCTGGCTAATGGTCACAAAAGGTAATGAACGAGGAGGATTAAGCTTCACTACTTTAATAAAAATTGATTATATATTTTCAAACAGCTAGATTTTTCATTGTGCTTTAACAGAAAGATGTGATAAATGTCAGAAGCAACTCATGTGCTAAGTACCTTGTTTTTCAACTTTAAATTTTGTTCATAATCTTTAGCTAGTTATACAAAGGGTTTCAACTCAACATGTCAGTTTATGTCCACAAAGCATCTTGACCAATGTCACCCCTGCCATCATTCACCTCCCCATCTATTCCAACCCCACCCCTCCCCTCAAGTTTCTTGGCCCCATTTTCATGTCTGAAGCACCCTGCTTTGATCATTACACATTCTATTATGAAATATGTACCATTATTAAGTGATGGTAAAATATATAAACAGATTGACTTTAGTCATAAAAGACAAAAGCCATTCATTACACTGTTTGGATGTTGGTTGGTAATTTGTGTGTGTGTGTGTTTGTGTGCACAATACTAGGACTTGAACTCAGGGCCTGGCACTCTCACTCAACTTTTTTTTTGGGGGGGGGTCTAGTCATGGTCCTGAACTCTGGGCCTGGGTTCTGTCCCTCAGCTCTTCAGCTCAAGGCTAGCACTCTACCACTTGAACCACAGCGCCACTTCCGGCTTTTCTTCTTTTTGCTTATGTGGTGCTGAGGAATTGAACCCAGGGCCTCATGCATGCAAGGCAAGCGCTGTACCACTGAACCACCTTCCCAGCCCCTCACTCACTCAACTTTTTTAGCTCATGACTGACACTCAGTAACTTAAATCACACCTCTGCTTCTTTTTGATGGTTTAATTGAAGGTAAGAGGATTTACCTGCCTGGAGTGCCTTTGAACCTCAGTTCCCAGATCTCAGATCTCCTGAGTAGCTATAATTACAGGTGTGAGCCACCATCACCTAGCTGAGATGGTTTTGAGGGTTTTTTTTCCTTAACAGAGGTGTGTGTGTGTGTGTGTGTGTGTGTGCGCGCGTGCGTGCGTGTGTGTGTGTGTGTGTGTGTGTGTGTGTTAGATAGGAGCTTAGTGGAAGGTAGAGAAATAGGACCAAAACAAAGGAGGAAAAAAAGCTCAGTCTTGCAATAGCCTGGGGCTTGAACTCAGAGTCTGGGCATCGTCTCTGAGCTTTTGTGCTCAAAGTTATTGCTCTACCACTGGAGCCATAGCTCCATGTCCAACTCATTGGGGATAAGAGATAAGAGTCTCACAGACTTTCCTGCCAAGGCTGACTTTGAACCACAATCCTCAGATCTCAGCCTCCTGAGTGGTGTGAGCCACCAGCACCCAGCCCCTTAACGGTTTTTGATACCTGAATTCCAATGACTCTGGATTGAAAATATTAACACAGAAAACAACTGCCTCCTTCCCCGCCCCCTCAGGAATGGTAGCACTGATTTTTGTTGGGGATGTAAACAAGGCCACCTGAGAGCCTATCCTGTGTCCTTTACCTTGGGTCCCTCTTGGATGATGCCCAGTCTGTACAGCACGTGCTGGGAGAAGGCCCTGAATAAGCCAGTGTGTTGACAGCCAGATATCTAAAACATAAGCAGCAGTTAGTATTACAACATGCACCACTGCATTCCAATTTCCGATGTTTTGAATAACACATGAGTATTATCTGCAAGTGCTTACCAGAGGGGTGTTGTAAAAGAGCCCATACCTCATGCGGGGCAATAAGGAAAAAACAGCTTCTTTAAAACACACCTAGGAATAAGGAGATTTTAAAACATAAGAGAAGATCATTTACACCTTGACACCAAAATCACTCTCCTCATTTTTTCAAACTACATTTTAATCAGTCTCTGGTTTGCATCAGAATTGTCTGCATAGCATCCTATTTCAAAGAGAGTGAGATTCACATTTGTGGAAGCCTGACAGAAAGGTGAGAAAGCTACATGGTTAAAAACAACAAGAGTCTTGGGCAGAAGAACCCAAGAAATCAGAAATGAGTGGTAATAGCTAACTGTTATTCAAATTTAATAAGTATCACAAGAGTAAGACATCGGTATACCACAGTTGCTTACTACGAAGACTTCAGAAAAGTTTCCAGTACCCTTTTGTTATCGTAGGTTTTCAGATGTATGACATCATAATCCGTAAATGCTTTCCAGGTGTCAGAGAAGAGGTCACCATATCCATAAGAACTCTGCAGGTGGAAACAAGGTAAGTTAGGGCAATGAAAGGGCCTGACACAGCTGCTCAGAGATGTGAGGAAACACCAGGATAAGGCTGCTGGTGTCAGCTTCCACTGTGGGCCACAAACAGCTCCCAAGAACAAATGGATCTTCACCTTGGGCCTAAGCAAATGCCTAATGGGTAAAACAGCATCAGAAATAAACACTACAGCTCTACTGCTAGTGTCAGTAGTGTTTGTTTTTCTGCTCTAACTCCTTTGAGTCTCACTTTTTGTTTCTTCGATCCTGGAGCTTGAATGCTGGGCCTAGGCACTGGCCCTGAATTCTTTTTGCTCAAGGCTAGCACTCTACCACTTGGAGCCACAGCTCCACTTCTGGCTTTTTCTGTGATTAACTGGAGATAAGGGTCTCATTGATTTTCCTGCCCGAGTTAACTTTGAACTTCAATCCTCAGGCTGAGGCCTTCTAAGAAGCTAGGATTTCAGGAGTGCCACTGGTGCCTGGCTTAGTTTCTCATCTCTTAAATTATAATTGTGAGATTTTTTTTGTTAAATTTCTACCCATATCCATATCACAGATAAATACAACACACACACACTCACACACACACACACACACACACACACACACACACACACACACAGACTGACATGCTCAATAGCAAAAGCTGGCAGAGTAAACAAATCAGGTTTGGAAAGAAATTTTAAAGCATGAAAATGGATTAAAAGCTTTAACATTAAAGATGTAATATATGTAGCCATAAGAGATTCTCTCCATTAATTAATGAAAAACACATGATAATTCCCCATTAACATTGATGAAGCTAACCATAATAACATTATATAACTACTAACTGGGCACAGTTCTTATGTACCAGGCACTTTAGGAAGCCATTAATATTAACTCTACAAACAGACCCACAAGCCTAATGAGCTAGCTAATATTTTTATCCCTCTTGTAGATGAGGAAACTGGGACACAAATTTAAGTAATTTTTTTTAATTGCATTGTAGCTGGGCTATAGAGTTGGGATTAAACTCAGTTTGTGATTGCAGTCTTGACGCTCATGAGCACCATAAGAGATGTCTCTCAGATATTTACAAAACACATTCCATTTGGAAAATGTAAGTTAATTATGAACTCCAACATCCAAAAGAAGGAAATCAATTAATTTCAAAATAGTGTAACCTAGATTGAAATATTCAGCTAAGAAAAATCAGAAATACATGTTCTGAGGTTCTATTCAAAGTTTACACTTGTTACATTCATTATATAGAACCTTTTATCTTTGTAGCCTTACTTTGTGAATTTTGAAACTTTTACTTTGCACATAGTATCATTATTTTAAAGTTATTTAGAGCAGTTATAGTGATTTAAGACAAAATTCCTTCCTTAGGTATTTCTCGAATGCTGTTCAAATAACGGCCCTTCTCACAGAAAATAAAACACATTTAAGTAAATTTTTCTAAATTGCATAGCTGCTGAGTTACAGAGCTGGGATTATTACAGTTCTGGCTCAGGAACAAATAAAGGGCAATTGAAAGAAGTAAATTCTAGACAATTTCTTGAGATAAAACACGTCAAATCAAATAAGATGCCTTTTAAAAGAATCTTTACAGTAAATAACCTTTACTGTTCCCCTATCTAGAAGCCACACCATACTCTTTGGATGATACAATATTACAGCCAATTGCATATCCTTCACAATGCAGTGATTATATAGCAAGGGATGGTTTACAGTATGCATCAGAGCCAGGCACTGGTGGCTCACACATGTAATCCTAGCTACTTAGGAGACTGAGATTTGAGGATCCAAAGTTCAAAGCCAGCCTGGGCAGGAAAGTCCAGGAGACTCATCTCCAATTTACCACCAAAAAGCCAGAAGATCTGTGCCTCAAGTAGTAGAAAGTTAGCTTTGAGGGGAAAAAAAAAGGTAAGGGATAGAGCCCAGGCCCTGAGTTCTAGCCCCAGTACTGGCACACAAAAAAAGGAAGAAAGAAAAGAGAAAAGAAAAGAAGAAACAAGCCAGGCATGAAAGTGTATGCCTATCATTCCAGCTTTTCCAAAGGCAGAAGTAGGAGGATCTCAATCCAAGGTCAATCCAGACAAAAGTTCAAGGCACTATGTAAAAAAATAGCTAAGACATGGTTCAAGTAGTAGAGCATTTGCCTAGCAAGTGTAAAGTCATGAGTGCAAAACCCCAGTGCTACCAAGAAAAAAGAGACAGGAAGAAGGAAAAACATACCATACTGAGAAAACTGATAGCAGGTATATATGCCTGCATGCTTATATACATGTCTAAGACTTGCCCTGGACAGCAAGCTGTAGCTTGGTGGTGGAGCCTTGCTTACAATGTGTGAGGCTCTAGGTTCAATCTCTAGTCCTTAAAAAAAAAAAAAAAAGCAAACAATGATTTCCAAAGGACAAACTCTATAGCAGCTCTCCCAATGTGCATTAGAGGCGAGGCAGATGAGCATTTTCCAGCATCTCCCTCACAGCAATTCTGAAACAACCAGGCTGAATTTTTGCTCTTGGAATCTCGACCTACTAATAAAGGGGGGGGGGGGATTGTCCACTGCTTTGGAGAGCAAAGAAGCACACGTACATTTGTGTGGGGGGGGGGCACTTGCCTGCATGAGTGTGAACACATGTGTATATTTAAATGTGTGTCTTAGACACGTATTTGTTTCACAAGGCCAGAGCTATAGAATGACAGAGCAAGGTGACAGGGCTGGAGCAGAAGGCGCACTCACTCACCGTGTCCCACATCACCACATACACGTCTGTGCTGAAGGAGTTGTTCATGTGCTGAGTGACATAAAGATTGAGAAAATCACAGAAGTGATGATACATGTTCACACCTGGCATGGGAACAAAAGAAAGCTATGTTAATGAAACCCAAAGAACAATGAATGAGCAGTTTCTATTCTATACCCATTGCTCAGCGTTCAGTAAACTTTTAATTTAAATAATGGGAGAAAACAAGGTGGGCGGGATTTTTTTTTCCAGACTGGAAATGCTTTATACACAATTTATAAAGGTATTGGGTTCACACATACTTTTTAGATGACTTGTTCAGAAAGTCAGAAATTCACTTTTTTATATATAATAAGTAGCAAATGATCAGGAAGGCCCTAGAGAAAGAATGGGTCAGCCTATTAAACTCAAAATGCACCAAACTCTAGTCAGTGTCCAGGAGATTAATCATTATTCTTTAGGATTGCTCTTTTTCTTAAAAATAAATCAAACAAGCCAGGTGCCCGGGGCTCATGTCTGTAATCCTAGCTGGTTCAAAGCCAGCCCAGGCAAGAAAGTCTGTGAGACTCTTATCTCCAATTAACCAGAAAAAAAACCAAAAGTGGAGCTGTGGCTCAAGTGGTAGAGTGCCAGTCTTGAGCAAAACAAGCTAAAGGTCAACACCCAGGCCCTGAGTTCAAGCCTCAGGACTGGCAGTAAAAAAAAAAAAAAGAAAAAGGAAAAGGAAATCAATCAAATAAGCCCTGTTCCTAAAAGCATAAAGAACACTGGCAACTACTAACATTTGCTAGTTTTCATTCTTGTGAAGTGTTTGCTCATACCATTCTCTTGAGCAAACACTAAACAACTAAAAGAAGTGAACGTCTAGTCCTCTAATTGAAGTAACTGAAGGAATATAAACACTGGAATCAGAAGAACCAGGTGAGTCCTAGCTCAGTTGCTCATAGGCAAGGTACTTAGGTATGTTTCTCAAGCCCTCTTCTCCTATAGGATAGGAAATAGTATGAGTAAGTGCCAACTTGGTGAGGATGCACCTTTGGGTGCTGATCCCCGAGGTTCATGGGAAGACCTTTTATGGGGGGGCCTCCCAGTTCAGATAGAGTAGAGAGGACTGTGGCTGTCACTATTCATAAGTTCACTCAAGTCACCAAAGAGAAAGAGAGCATGCACCCCTTGATTTAGGAATGCATTACTCAGAAGTCAACCTAGAAATAGAAATCCTAGATGGGAAGATATTCAAAGAAGTGACATGCAAAACATGATTGTTCAGACTGGTGATATGTGAAGAGTGGCAGGAGCAAGGCCCTGAATTCAAACCCCAATAGTGCCAGAACGAAAGAGAGAAAGGAGGGAGGAAAGGAGCGAGAGAGGGAAAAAGAAAGAGAGGAAGGGAAGGATGGCAGGAAGGAAGGAAGGAAGGAAGGAAGAAAGGAAAAGAATTAAAAAACAAGCTCATGCATTTTCAAGGAAGGAAAAAGCTGAGAAAAAAAGAAAGCCAGTGAGTCTTAAACGCAGAAACTGCAAAATATTCTGACCTCATTTCCACAGAGAATAATAATATTGTGTGCCAGAGACAAAAGAGTGAAAACACCCAGTTTTTTTTTCTTCCCAGTCCTGGGGCTTGAACTCAGCCTGGGCACTGTCTCTGAGCTTCTTTTCTCAAGGCTAGCACTCTACCACTTGAACCACAGCTCCACTTCCAGCTCTTTCTGTTTATGTGGTACTGAGGAATCGAACCCAGGGCTTCATGCATGCTAGATAAGCATTCTACCACTAAACCACATTCCCAGCCCCAACTCCTACTTCTTTTGCAGGCTGGAATCTTACATAAATGTTTGGAAAGGTTCAAGTTTTTCCTCCAGGAAAGTCTTGGGAAGGAACATATTTTCCAATTAACAAGAAAATAAAGTTCTCATGGAAGACATCCCCCTCTCCCCAGGTGAACCACAAAGCTCACATTTGCTTCCAGGTAACATTTAGTGTGTTCATTGGCTGAGAACTATAGTTGTGTACACAATAACATTTATACCACAAAACATTTATAAATTCTCATTTATAAATGAGGTACCAAACATGGGCTTCATCCTGGAGAAATATGCACCCTACTAAATTTTGTCCCATAGAAAGCTCATTCTCCCAAGGTAAAAGTTAAAAAGAGGAAAATTGGATGACAGTGTAAATTAGAAGGGAAAAAAAAGTAATGATTATAGGAAAGAAATAGTGCATATCTACCTTCACTTCCTATTCCCACTTTACATACTTTATTGCATAAGATCTGCATAAATTTCACAGTTAACACATTATTTGCCTCTTTTGTAGGCAGATCACAGCACCTTCTTTGCCCCCTTTTAAATTTGCATATTTATAAAAATGAGTTAGAACCTTGAACATAGCATTTTCACTTGGTCTTTCAGAGACGTAAACTTGTCTGATTTCTGAATCTAACCCTTTGTAATATAAGAATTATGACTTCAGAAGACAGAGCACACTAAAACTATGATCAATAAATTATGCTAATCCTTGAATATTTATAGCAGCAGGCTTTCTATATTTCATCGTAGGCCCAGCCTCTTATGAATTTTGATATGACACTGCACAGTAATCTTTGTCACTCAGGATGAGTGACATGATACCCTACAGCATGTTTCTTCTCGCCCAGGCAAAAAGTTTACCAGACCTAGAGGCTGCCAGCATAAATAGCAAAATCATTCTCATGTATTTACAAAAATAGACTGCAGTGTTAACTTCCAGGACAAAAAAAAATTTATTGTGAAAATACTGTACAGAGGAGTTACAATTACATGAGCAAGGTAATGAGTACATTTCTTATCTAGCATTGTTGCCTCCTCCTTTGTTTTCCCTTCCCATCTCCCCCCCAACACCCCCCTCCCCGCACCAAAGTTGTAAAGTTCGTTTTTCGACTTGTACATCTCATTGTTACAATGGGTCCACCTGTATCCCTATTTAAGCAATTTTTTTTCTTTAGTCATGGAAACAGTACTACAAAGTAAGCATAAGAGGTAACCACCTTCTGATTCACAGAAGTCTGCTAATTAAATTTTTTTTAAATCATATTGAAGCCAGACACTAGTGGTTCACACCTGTAATCCTAGCTACTCAAGAAGCTGAGATATGAAGCTTATGGTTTGAAGCCAGCCAAGGCAAGAAACTTGGTGAGACTCCTATCTCTAATTAAGCACCAAAAAAGCCAGGAGCAGAGCTATGGCTCAAGTGGTAGAGTGCTAGACTTAGGACAGCACCCAAACCCTGAATTCAAGGCTCAGGGCCACCCCTACACACACACACACACACATCCATAATGACCCCTATACACACACACACACACACACACACACACACACACACAC